AATGTGAAATAATCCTTATGTACTCTGCAGATAGGATAAGATGTACTATATTTATTGCAAAAGTTGGGAATTTCCTGTGTTGTAACAGCCAAAATATTAAACATAAACTAAATAAATGGTTTATTAGAATAAAGTGGAACAGTTAAAACACAAATGATACTAAAATGAGTTAATTCAATAGGAAAAATACATTAAAGGAGCTCAATAAGTCAAGAAATAGATTTAATTCAATAGAACTGCATGTAGAATGCTGAATATAATACACAAATACAAGTGAAAACAACAAAACTAGTAAAGCAAAAACTGCCAAATGGCATTAAAGAGTGATATTGTTACATATTACACCACAAGATTGCTAATAAAGATGCACTATTGCTTCCCCATATTTAACTAACTGCTACTCTAATTACTCCAGTAAGAGAAACGTTTTTGCACGTTGGGAAACTGTACAAACCAAAACCAATGCAATAAGTTAATTTATTAACAGTAAGAACCTGCAGAAAATGTCTTAGAACAGGTAAAAACCTGCTCCTTATAATGCTGCCTGTCCTACATGAGCTACTCATTAAAAAGTAACCTGGAGCTAGTTTTACAAACAGGTACAATTATTACTTAACATAAACTGAGCCAAAATGCAGAAGCAGTGTGTGAAACTCAAAGTACATGCTTACATCTTCCACTGGAATTAAGGGGTAGTTAGCAGGCAGGTGCTGCTAATTAAATGCTCTTGATTAACTGATCATCAGCAAGTGTGAGCACCTCTATAAAACAGACACACAACAGGACTCAGTTAGGATGTGAAATATTTAAATGAATGACAGTGCAACTAGAAAAGGGCTGAACACATATGGCTTATTTGGAGTCTCTTTGGACATCTGGACAGTCCAAAAGACGTCTGTAACAATGTTCATGGACAGACGAGAACAAAATGGAGATGTTCGGTGAAAAACACACACCTCTTCCCGACTGTGAAGCACGGCGATGGAGGGATGTTGATTTGAGCTCCTTTTGCATCCACAGGACCGGAGCAAGTCAAAGTCCAGAACTCAACCGAACTAAAATACTGCAGCGAGATTGAAGAAGACTGGACCGAAATTCCTCCACAATGATGTGAGACACTGATAAAGTCATACAGGAAATGATGACTTCAAGTTATTACTGGGCGTATTTAGTTTTTCAGAGAACTGCAGAGAGCCATGTGAAAATGTTCTTTCTCACACAGCAGCAAGTGCTTTGATGTGCGCCCCCCTCCTACAAGATAAAGATGAGAAGTTGTGTGCTGATTAATGTCAAACAAAATACATTTGGATACATTTGTTTCTTAGATAACCTTTTATTTAATCAGAGCTTAACTGCTGTGAAGATAAAGCATTCAAGAGCTAAATTAACCTGCAAACATAGCTGCTCATTAAGTGAAGCAAAAAAAAAGGTGCTATAACATTTAGTCGCATAAAATAAAATGAGATACTTGCCTTTTCCATCTTCTTTAAAGGTGTTTTTGGATAGTTTCTCATAGTTAGTTTTTTTTCACAATACAAATACATCTAAACTTTAAAATCCTGTCATAAACCATTAAATTAGAGTGTTACGTAACGCCAGATAAACTCGTGCGCGCGTTTCAGAGGAGCTAATGTGTAAGAGCGTGCACGCACACCCTGCTGTTAGCTGATTGGCTGCCTCACGGTTCATTTCAGGTTACGTCCCAGAGGGATTTTCCCAACCACAATACTTTGTTTTCAACAAGCTCTAACTGATGCCAACCTTCAATTTGGAACCACTTTTTAAGCATCGTTTTGAGACACACAGTGTAGTGTAAATCACTAGTTTATTATTATAACACATGCATGCAATTTCAAAATTTCAATGCAAAATAACACAAGGAAACAACCGATGGCGCTAAATACATTTTCACCCATGCACAGAGTCAACCGACTATGAAACTATGAAACTGGAATCAGCTCGGTGCTCTCGTGGCTAAAACTGTAATTTTTTTTTAACCACACAAAGGTTTATTTGTGATCAGAGTTTTGGACTTGAGTGCAGAGACTGAGTTAAATAGAACACATGATGATGAAAGTACAAAAGAGAACTTGTATAAGGCAGAGAGGGCAGCCTGTGGAAAATGGCACATCAGATGCTTCTTAAATCCCCCACTTCTGTGTTTGCAGCTAAGCTCGCTGCTGTCTTTTAAAGGTTTTAAAAAATAAACCTGGAAAACAAGTCAAAAATTTACACCGTAGTTTGTAGCGAGCGTGATAGTTACACAGGAAGTAGATTCAGTTCCTGCCTGTGCAGCTGCCGTCATTTACATTCAGCAAAAAGAAACTTTAGAAAAACAATACTGGACATTTTCAATCCATAAAAACACAAAGCATCAGAGGATGTTTTGGGTTTTTTGCTTCCAGTGTTGGCTTCACAGTAGTTTTACAGATACAGCTGTTCCCATATGGCCCTCTTTCAGCTATTTTTGCCATGTTTACATGACTTAGTAGCAGCTCAGTAGAGTCCCAGCTCTACTGATGAACACTGATGAGGCCTGAACACCCACAGCTGCAAGAAAGGTTTAAGATTATAATATGACTAAACTAGCATGTATATATTTGTATAAAAAACACAGCGTGATCGCTCACAGTCCAGGCCCATTGCACTTCCTTTAGCACCAACAATGTCCACTCGGGTTAAGGTGATAAATTCTGACAGGTGTCCAGGCTGTGAGGTAGCAAAGCAGCTCCAAACCATGATGGTACCTCCACCGTGCTTCGCTGTTGGGGTGAGCTTTTATTTACTGTTGTCCAAAAGACTGAGTGCTCAGATATAGTCTTTTCCAAATATGGCATGTATTGTAGTGTGCTTTTCTTCCTCAAGTTCTTCCAATAACATCATTCTTAAGTGTTTTTCTTATGGTAAACTTTATTCAGCTGTTTGGAGGTGTTTTTGTCATTACCCTTGGTTTCTTTTTCACCTCCCTGGCAAGGTGGCAGCTTTCCTGAATATCCTCTGAGAGTTCTTCTTAGTGTGACTCGAAAAACATTTTTCCAGTTTTGTGAACCTGCAAATGCTTCTAAGTTCCTGGGAAAGTCACCGAAACGAAAGCGTGGTTCACCCCTTCCAGGTTTTCTTTAAAAAGGCAGATTTTTATCAAGAACCAGGCTTTGTTTGCTCTCTGATCTCATTGAGGTGCTTTTTCAGATTCACGTCCATTCTCCAGCCTGGGAGTTATTTCATCTTTTATAACATCATGCAAAATCCAGTTTGTGCTTCATTAGTTTAGCCAGATTGTGTTTCTCTGCAGTTGTGAGTGTGATGAAGGTCAGGCCACATTTTCCGAGTAAGTTATGACGAAATCTGTGCACTTCCAACTGTGTGATCTGCCTACACAAAGTCTCTTGTTCTTAACAGTAATACTGATAGCTGATGTGGAGATTTGATTCTTCTCTGGAAACATAATCAGGCTAAGCTCCTATTTCACAAAGCCGAGACCAGATAAACACAAATCTCCTCCCAATGTCTGCCTTCGTGTTTTTACACAGGTTTGTCGAGGGTGATGCAAATCACGCTGAGATCTTAGGCGGCTACTAAGCCTCTCTCCTTTCAGGAAAGATATTCAACCCCAGTTCCACCAGCGCCCCCATTAACATGGTCCACAGTGGTATGCACACAAACGTCAGCTTCACGTCGGCCAGCCTTTCCAGCTTGGCGCACAGCGTCAGGCAGAAGCCGAGCTTCAGCAGCATGGCTGTCAGGTACCAGCTACGCAGGCGCAGGTCTGGAGAGCCGTTGCGCGGGTCGTATCCCGGCTTGCAGCGGCCTGCCATCTTGATGGCGAGCATGAGGATGAGGATGCCATCAAAAACCCAGACAGGGAGAAAGATGAGGAACCAGTTCCACTGCACCTGTAGAGAGGAAAGGGAGAAGATGCTAATAGTTGAGGTTGTTGGGAGGAATGTGTCACTGGATGGAGACTGGGTGGAGATTGCTGATGAAGCTATGAAAACTGTTACCTTTCCATCCAATTTGAGCACCAGCATAATGAGGAAAACCAGGGTGAAGACCCAGGTCAACAAAACCCTCTGAGCCAGAGACATCTCACTCAGTGGAGACCAGAGGAGGAGACAGACAGAAGCTGCACACAGACAGACCACATGTGCACGTGTTATAATCAGAAAATATGTTAAATAATGATAAATGCATGCTTTTGTAGCATAAAACGTGGATTTAAAAACTGACAGCAAGGCAGGAATCAGAACTAACTGGATTATTTGGTGTCAGCTATGCTCTCCGTTGCAGCATCAAACAACATTTCGCTGATGGCCGCTTTGAAATAATAATTTAATGCCATAATTGTATTCATTGTCAGATTAAAAACACTGCAATTAGAGCTAGCTGTTACAGCCTAATAGCATTGTGCTAATCGCTGGCTGTGACTTACTTTAGTGTGTTTCCAGCTCGGCAGACAGCATCTTCCTTCCAATGTGTCCTACGCATTCACATTCTCATATCGTTTCTTATAGCCAGTCATGTAATTATCAGCAAACGTGTCCGTTAATAAAAATAGACTGGGAGATTTTTTTAGGTCCGTTATCCATACGGGTCCCGCCTCTCCTGGGAGCCGATTGGTGCTCCTCACGTTTGTTTTAATGTCCGTCACGCTGCGTTGTAACCGTAAAGTGTTCACGAATGCGCAAAGCAGTTGTTGGGTTTTCCTGTAGTGAGTTTTCACGTCCACTAGAGGTAAGTAAAGTTCTTTTTATTCCCCCCCCCCCCCCCCCCCCGGCGTTTCTGATTATATCCTATTCGTCGTGATGGTATTTAAAATTTTAACCCTGTATTTTCTCGTTTTTTGACTTTCGAAATACTTATTGTATTCATGTGTGACCCTAGTCTTCTTTCCTATTTGCCAACCATCGATGGCGATTATTTGCTGAAAATATAACTGCGCCTTTATGCGGCGGTTTACGGTAAGGGGGCCGAAGTAGTATTTTTACAGTGAGAGACAGAAAGGGAAAGGCTAATGCTTGAAACACTGGCGAGCAGATACTCAGCATCTCCTCCAGACAATGGACAAGGCTGGCTAGCTCAAGTTCATTATAAACTACGCTTAGAAAGCGCGCCTGAGCTCTGTCTGTGGACTTGGAGCCGCCTTCGCAGTCAAAGAGGTAAGACTGAACGACTGCACGGCGCGTTTAGACGGCAGTAATCAGGGTTTCGGGGTTAAAGACAGCTGTGTGGGCTGTTATGCCTGCCGGTGGCTCAGCTAACATATAGCCTGGCAGAAGGGAGGAGGACTGTCTGTATATGAACCAAGATAACCACGAAGACTGCCCGAAAGCACAGTGGCTGCTTCCAGCTACATGCCAGCTAGCATCAAAATTAGCTGCATGTGTTTCCCCACTCATAGTGGACCGAGCTTTACTTCACAGTAATGCAAACGTTGACATTTTTAGCCTGTGTTTTACTTCCTCTACCTCTTTGCTATTTTTAAATCTTCCACATCAATGTTATTAAGAATAAGATTTTTAGTACAATCTTTTCTAACAGTATTTCTATAGCAAGTAAAAAGATAAAAAATCAACTGAGAAAGCAATCAAACTTGTATAAAAAATAAAATAGGCAAGTAGGGTTGCTCTTAACTATCACCTTTATAGTAATACCGTTTATTGCATGGCATTTTGTTAGGCTCTGACTGATTTACTATTCAAGCTAAACTGCTGTGTGAAAGTATTTGCCTGCTTTTTTATTTTATTTTATTTATTTGCACATTTGTCACACTTGCATGTTTCAGGTCAACAAATTTTTATATTAGACAGTGATAAGCTGAGTGAAAACAAAATACAGTTTTTAAGTCATGGTATCATTTATTAAGAGAAAAAGCTATCCAAATCTACCTGAAGTTACGTAAAAAAATAATTGCCCCCATGTGATTAACCACTTTTTTTTTGGCCAGCTGAGTTCAATTTAACTAGCCACACCCAGGCCTAATTACTGCCAGGTAGAGCAGGGCGATATGGCCAAAAATATTTATCACGATATATATTTGAAAATTTGCGATAACGATATAACTGACGATATAATTGATGCGAGACAAAATACAACTCCACAACATTACTAGCGCAAAAAGACAACCTTCCATTTATTTTCACTTAAACAAGAAGCTGGTTTTTATGTACATTAAAGCTTTATAAAAATGTAACAGTGCAAATGCAAATTCCTTGCTGAAAGTTTAACCAAAAGACATTTCCAGTAGAAATGGGCTGACATATCCTGAGCATAACCATGTATAATATCCACTGAAGTTAAAAAGAGGTGCTCTGCAACATTAAACTGCAGTGTGCAGTACGCATTTTTCGGACCATAAGGTGCACGGGATTATAAGGCACATTAAGCGAAACAAAGCAGTCAGATAAATCAAACTTTATTAAACTCATTCTTCTTGCTTCCTCCACTTCTGTACCATTGATTCATTAATGTTGAATTCTCTGGCAGCTGCTCTATTCCCATGTTGTTGCAGTATATTAATGACTAACCTCGTATTGTGGATGGATTATCTCAGTTGTTCTCCTGACTGAAGTTTGGTCCGTGTACAGCATCCTGCCATGCGATTGCATTTGTCTCTAACCATGAGGAACCTTCATGTTAACTTTTATAAGTGGAAAAGTGTTAGTGTTCGTCCTCCAGCTTCACTGTTTATGTTATGCTAACATAGCTGTGTCGCTAGCGATCACGTAGCACATCATTATATAGCAGCTAGCCCAACTTCAGTAACCCTACAAACGTCACTGCTGTTTAGTTTCCTGTCTTCATTTGTGTTGGAAGTGATAGCAGAGCTGTACGTTTGATTTTTTTCAGAAATCTCTCCGTCAGAACATGCTATATCATGTTTAGGTAACTAGCGAAACTAGCGAGCTAACTTCCGCTAGCTTCCTGCTAACTTCTAACTCCGTTAAATGTAATAACTTGTTTTCATGGATGCCTGGAAGTTAAACTTTATAGTTACACCTGGTAAAGCAGCAATGTTGATCGTTTTATTAAAGATGAAAGAATTTTGACAGTTTTTAACTCTCAGTGATGCTGCAGTGTTGTTTGACCTGAAACATACGGAGTTTAGGACCCAGATTACTCCCACATATAAGAGCATCTTAGTCCGACAAATACCACAATAATGACGGCCGCTTGCATGTTCTGCAAAAAAATGTGCTTTGTCGTGTATCTGACGGACAACAACCAAACCAGTTCCACATCACGGAAGTTGCACCATTTTTACAAACCAATTCTGGTTCATCTGTTTCACTCAACAATCGGCCATGTGCGTATGAAAACAAAGGCACTGCGCATGCGCGTTTTACTCCCATTCTATCGCGATATTTCATTTTCCTATCGTTGCCTAACATTATACCGGTATTACCGTGAACGGTATAATATGGCCCAGCCCTACTGCCAGGTCTGTTGACTCGTGAAATCGCTTCTCTAGAACCTGTCTGACAACATGAAGAAGGCTAAAAGATCTCAAAAAGAAACTCTTCGTCTCACAATCTAAAGTGAAACTGAAGAACTGATGCGAAGCAAAGTTGTTGACATCTTCAGTCTGGAAAAGGTTATTTCTAAGGATTTGAGACTTCAGCGAAGGACAGTGAGAACCATTATCCAAAAATGGAGAGAACCTGAAATGGTGTTGACCCATCCCAGGAGCGGCCAGCCTATTTTAAAAAAAAATAAAAAAAATACTCCAAGAGTGCACCAGTTGAACACCAGCTGAACGCTTTGAAATGTCTGAGTCCTGTTACATCCAGCATAAAACTAACACAGCATTTCACAAAATGAACGTCATGATGTGTGTTTCTGTGACTTCCTGTGTAAACATGATCAACATTCAAACATGGTACTGTGATGGTCTGGGGCTGCTTTGCTTCTTCAGGACCTGGACAGCGTCCCGTGATTGATGTAATTATGGATTCTGCTCTATACTGGAAAATCCTGAAGGAGAATGTCCGGCCATCAGTTTGTGTCCTGAAACTCAAGCTCGCTTTGGTTATGCAAATTTTCCAAAACACACCAAGTCCACCTCCAAATAGACTTGAATCTGATTGAGATGCTTTGACCTTAAACAGGCTGTTCATACTTGGGAAAACTCTCCAGTGTGGTTGATTTAAAACAACTCTGCAAAGAAGAATGAGCCAAAATTCCTCCACAGTAACGTGAAACGCATAACAAATGATTTAAAATCAGATTTTTCTTTACTAGGTTTATCTTTGCCTGATATGTAAAATGTATTTGAGCTGAAACATGCACACGTATCAAGCAAAAACAGGAAGAAGTCTAGAAGGAGGCAAATGCTTTTTCACTTTATTTAACTACGAAGACCCATTTATATCAAATCTGGTTCAAGCTATACAAACACAATATTTAAAAAAGCAGCAAATACAGTGAAAGGTAGCGTATAGGACATAAAATGGCACAAAAAATATTAGTGCCCTCCTACACAGTCTTTTAAATCAATTAAAACATGCATCTAAGCAGCTATAATTTTGTCTGTTTTTTGTGGCTGTCCATAAACATTGCATTTCTTTTAACCAGCCAACTGCTTGCAGGCATACAGGTAATCGGAAGCCATCAGGGTGCCCATAGTCTGCTAAGCTGTGATGTACTCTGCTGCATGTGCTGCAGATATTGCTGAGGGCTACAGCCACTCTATTTAAAAAAAACAAAAAAAACAAACAATACAAATGTCCGTGCATGTCCTTCATATCTGTGTATCTCGACTAACAGATGTGCCAATATATGTGATAGGCCAGTAACAGCAGTTCGCCTCGTGCTCATCTACATTATTCAAATCTTTATCTGTCTCTTCTACTCTATTTTACTCTGCTTTAAAACCTGTTAGTGACTGTGTCAGAGAAGTGAAACTGCTGCAGGCTTCTGCAGGGGGTCAGGCTCTCAGTTTGGCAGGCCTACTGATTATCCAACAAGTTTATCGTTGAGCCTGTCTGTCTGCTCCAATGTCTGACCAACAAAGTCATCGCTCACCCAGATTTCTATCTGCAGTCATAATTCGACCTCTAAATTAGTCCGCTGTGTCGCACCGGTTGAGTTGCTTTTAAGCCTAAAAATCACTTTTTCCTATTAAGCCGTACACGCTGAAGAAGCAGATCAGATTTTCCTGATTATCCTTACAAACACGGTGACAACAGCAGTAAAAATGATCAGCTGCTGAGTTTTTTCCGCTGTTGGAGCAGTTATACCTGACTGTGTTTGCAATTCAGCCAGGAGTGGAACATTTTTATTTTTTTTTAATTATTTTTTTAATCAAACTGCAAGTATGTGACTTGTGCAACAGCTAAGCAAACCTTTAATCTCGCTTGCTGTGAACCCCATGTACAGCATATACTGTAGGGCCTCGTATTCGGGGTAGAGAAATATAGTTTTCTTAGACTCAGTAGGGTTGTGTTAGTCATATGATCATCAACAGGAATGGGTTTTCCCCAAAAGGAGCTACTAGGAACTACCTGTTTAACAAGAAAAAAACTGGGAATGATATCAGAGATCTCACTTAAATCCATTATGAAGTGCCTTTGAGCAAGGCAGATCAGTGCTCGTTTTCCTGCCTCGCTGCAGGAAGCTGTGGTTCAGAAGTGCAGTTTGTTTGTTTTCTTCCTGACAGAAAATAGCTCACTTTTGTGTTATGTTGCATATTCACTGTGGTGTTGCACACACATGGGATTCCTGTTAATGCCCAGACACACAAACAGGGTAGGACTCGGCAGCTCGTGTGCCTTTTAAAACACTGATTAATCATCTGCTGGTCCACTACTACAAGTCAGACCATGTATCTGCACCGCATCGTTGTGTGCACACACAAATGTGACTTGTAGAGAGTGACTCCCTCGTTGAGTGGCCTTCTGTATATTTTTACACCCTTTGGACATTGCAAGAGTCTCTTGGTCCTGCAAGGCCTTAATTGTCATTTGTCTTCACCTGACAAAGTGTGGATGAAGGCATGCCCAAGGCTGGCTAGAGAGAGATCCCACTTCTTGCATATGTTCTCTGGGCTGTTATTTCTAGCTTTAGTAATTAAAGTAATTTAAAATAAAAGCAGTGTTTCTGTAAATAGTTTCTACTTTTGCACACGTGAGAGTGCATTCTCTGCATCTCAATCTCATCC